TACATTTAGTTCTAAAATGACACGATAAAGGATGACTTCACACAATTAAGAAACTTTGCTCGAACCGTGTGAATGTGTGTGTTTGTTAAATGGGACATAAAAGAGAGATGGTATCAATAGGGCTTAAATTGCATTTTAAAATCCAGTTTGTTACTTCATCAATACTAGAGTAAGTAGTGAATAGTTTAATCAGAAACCTCCCGTTGCTGTCGATATTAGAATATAGAATGAGGCAAAATTAGACGTGGTTTGATAAAAGTAGATTAACTGAGAAAACCATGGAGAATTTATCTTTTAACTCAATTGTAAAGTGGATCAACTATTCCCAAAATAATCAACACTTAACACTTTATATGAGTAATTTAACTTCATTCTTCGAATAAATCAATAACCCGCATTTTCTTTGATATTTCATAAGAGCTTTCCTTTTTAACGTACAGTAACGTAGTACACAAAGCAGCAGCTTTAATAGTTTGAAAAAGTTGAAAAACAGGAGCAGATCTCTTCATTCAAAACCACCTTTAGTTTATTCAAAGATGTTTATAACTACAACTTGTTGTACTACAAAGAAAGGCTAGCTTTAACCATTGACTATGTTCTCGAATCTGCTATATTCTATAAAGATCAATGAGATAAAATTATTTTAAAAATTATCCCCAAGACAAGGGTAGCTTTGGCATTATTAGATGTAAGGAACAACAAGTAATCATTGACTTAAAGAACAACGGTATAAAGTAATAACATACCTAGACAGACTGAAACATATTGCTGTAATATTGATGTGATCAGTAAAACAACTAATCTATTTAACTTTAAAATATTTGTCTGATTGTCACTTCCAACTTTCTCTTCATTTTTTTAGCTTAACCTTTCATCATTCTCTTGACAAGTCAGGTTGAGAAATTTGGCTAAATATATAAAGGGAGAATGAAAGAAACAACTATATTTTACAAGGATGACTTATACCAGCTGGTCCTTGACCATTCCTATTTCCCAGATTAACTGTGCCCATTTACGGCTTGGTAGACTTTAATTATGATTGAAGATGACTTATTAAAGATCATTGTACACGCCGACCGACCATTTACGTATTGTTTGAAATATCACATTTACAAGAGGTAGGACTATTTAATGCTTCGTATCATTGGTACCTTTTGACGTAACAAGATACTCATAGAGCACTTTCGTTGAATCTTTCAGTATTTTGTTCACTAAACCAACCTTACCAACGTTTATATAGGCTTTAAGGAATACTACCTCTTAGAAATAACATAAAAGTCTCAAACTTCCAAGCTGTTTCAAAATTACTTAGTTATATAATTAGTTAATGAATAATTGCTTAGTTTTGTGGATTTATTGGATCATAGCAATGACACCAGGTATATCCGCTGATGAACAAAGACTCATTTTGGCAAGGTTTGAAAATTTCAATTCTTCGGTCATCGGTAGTATATCTTTAAAGGAAAGATCTGTGTACTCTGTATGTCTATTGACAAATTCTATCTGTAATTATGTACATGAAATCAGACATCTCGGTCATAAAATTTTCTCTCTACTGCCATATAATTTCAAAGTCTTTGAAGTGAATTGGTTAAAATCTTTACAAAGGTCAATGTAATAAGATGAATTTAAAGATAATGTCTTTCCTTGTCAATTGGAAATCGGAATGTAAAAGCAGGTACTAAGGAACCAATTAATGAAGAAAGTTAACATTATTTGATGTGATTTAAGAACTGTTACATGTCCGACATGGTTAAAGTCGACCTGACATTGACTCAATGGGAAGTTTAATTCGATATTTTCTGTTTTATCTATCGATGAGTTTATTGCTGTTCCTTCAATAGACTTTGTAAATATTTGATGATATTTCAAATGAAAGTTCTTGTCATTTCGAGAGATTTCCTTCGAGTACTAGACAAGGTCACTTCCGTAGACTTCATCAAACACTAATTTACATTTTACCTGGGTTTCTAATTGTTATCTCTCCTCAACCTGAAAAAACTGAATTGAATTCATCGTTTTCAATCATGGCGAACGACTGTTTGGACCCAGCCTTGGACTGTTGAAAAATCTTAATTATATGTGCTACAGACCTTGTAATCTAGTCTCATGTTTGAGCAAAACAAATGTTGGAGCTGTGTAAAGTGATAATTGTAAGTACCGGTATCCAATCTCCGTAATGGTGTTCTTAATAGTTGAAGTAATGTAGTTCTATGGTATCGAAGAAGAGTTTTTAGTGTAGCGTTTAAGATAAACATCTATTAAATTGTTTATAGTATTATTACAGACATCTAGTTTGACAAGTGTGTTGATCTTTTTGTGCCAGAAAATAATGGTCTGGAATGTGAAGACTTCTCTTTCAGCGGCAACTTAAACATTATAACTCGGTGCTTTATCACTCGCAGTATTTTTGTAAAGAAAATACCCTTCATGCATATTAACAATGCCTCTTATTCTACTCATGATATCTATTTGCACTTGGCACCAACACAAATATTACCTATAGAAGTTTTCAAGAATTATGTACATGACTAACATTAACCAACAATATAGTACTTTCCCTATTGATTTTTTCTATTACCCGACATTCTTTTCTTATCAGTTCTGAAAATATATCCTAGATAATTTAATCACTCAATCGTAAAATAAAATTGGTATTCAGCGGAAATTCTTTATGTATTCCTGTCGTTATTTCCTGTAATATTATTCATTATTTATGAAATACATACAGGTATTTGTTAAGGAAAGTCCCAGGTGATATATTGGTTAAATCGAGCAACTTATGTTTAATTGAATTTTAATCTGGTATTGTTTAAAATCTCTCCACGCTTCGTGTTTCATTACCATTGTCTATATGATCTCCAGTCACTTCTCGATAACAATAGTTAAATATTAATGCTATTATCTCTCAGATAATTGGCTGATATAGTTAGACTGTGCAATTATTTGAATACATTATTTGTTGATTTGACTCTAAAATATGTGCCGCTCCAGAAAGTATTTACTACGTCATATCCCTTTTAACCATAACTTTATTATCAATTTGAAACATACACATGAATGCCATAAATCGGAACAGCTTTAATATCATTCGACAATTTTCGGGTTACTTGTTAACGCAATTGCTATTGTTTTCAATGAAAAGATCGAATATAGTAATTTGCTTTTCATCATTTCAGCTTCCAGTAGTTAAATTGATAGACAGTTGTTATGAAATTCCACTTAATGAAATAATTGTACAGTACAATTTTTATTACATATTGAACGTGTTTCAATAAAACATACAAGTTTCAATCATTGTAGACATGACTAGCATAGATAACACCTTCAGAAACACAATACTAGAATGTTTCTCATTTTTCTGTAAAAAATATGTGAAACATTTCCTACTTTAAATAAAAACGTCAACACTGCTATCGAGCGATCTGATTTAAAATGCCGAAATAAAAACATTCACGGAAACAGCTAATGTGATGAAAGTCTCAAACAGTGCTAGATTAATCAATCAAAGTCAGTGAATAGCTAACTGATATAATCTTCCATTCTTTCAATTATTCACTGATCATAGATGACAATGTGGAGAAAAAATCTCCCAAATACAGTTTTATTTTACACCTGTATCTATTACTGTAAGCGAATTCTAAATGAAAAAGTTATATTTGCCATCAAGATTCCAGAACAACTGTTACCCGCCATGTGAATGATAACTCTGGTTATAAATAATGCTTGTTTCTTTCAAACTTAAATAACGATGACAGACATAAATTGAAAAAAGATGCAACTTGTGGTGAAATTAAATGCTGTTTTATATTCTTTTTTCTTTTGGTTTTTATTTGTTTGAGCTATGCCAAAAAGATAGACATATTGCAGTGTGTGATGAGGGAAGTGTGGAAGGACAGTGGCATTAATCTACTCAAGGAGTACACCTGTAATGTCTTATCCGAACGACTCGGCGCTCTCCATTACCGACTCGCATCACAGGGGAATCCCTGTCGCTACATAAGCAGTACTGTTACATTATTATTATAATTCATATTTTCATTTTTACTTGTATTGTTTTCGTTTAATGGAGTGAATGAGTGTTCTGTGCTGTATAAAATTATTGTACTGATTGACGTTATACAATGTGCTAGAAAATTCATTATATTCCACCCAAAACACAACACGAAACTCTAATCAATGAAGTTGTCTAAAACACTTTTTTATGTTAAAAAGCTAAGGGGGAAGTATGTCAATTACATTATGTTCTTATGCATTAAGTTTATGTTGATGTGTAGTTTTTTTTTCCGATTGGTTGGCAAGCAAGCAGAAATACTAATACCTTGCTTTTAAAAACACTGATGACAAATCTGATCTGATTTGAAAAGTGATGGCGATATTCGATGATGGAATGTTGCTCAGATTTTGGTGTAAAAAATTAGGGTTATATTTTTTGGTATCCAAGTGTGGCTTAATTTACTATGTCGAAGATAATGGTAAAATGTAATCAAGTAATTCTGTTGATAATGATGCCTGGGCATTCATAAGATTAATAAGTGTTTAGGCTTGGAATATTAAATAGTCATAAATACATGTTCGATTTCTCGCGAACGAGTTGGCCATTAAACATTCATTAAAGATACATATGTACATGCACTAACTTTTTCTACTACAGTTTCTGTACTTGTATAAACGATTTATTTGAAGAAATCTGCTCGATTGTACCCAACATCTATATCATATGCCAGTGGTTTTCAATCTATTTCAGCCCAATTAATTAACCCCAAACATAATGGATATTCAAAACATTGTTAGTTTTATAATTTTATAAGGATCCATAAAAGCTAAATTCTTCTCCTACAACAGTTGGTCACACGATGTTACCCGTGTGCCATACCCTCAGGGTGGTGAGAACATCCCAGTTTGTGTCCCAATATCCTATGCGGTTAAAGTTAAAAGTCCTTCAATAATAAGAATCGAGACATTTTGCTGACGTCATTAAACTGAAGGTGAAGAGCACTATGTTAATACATCCTTTTTCATTAATTTTTAAGGTAACTGATGCTGCCGCACGGATTACACTGTTTATTGTGTCTTTCAGGTTGCCTGGCGCCAAGTTGAAAAAGAAAAGTTTTTAACCATTGGCACGACAACGTGGATTAAGGATAATAATTATGTTGTACAGCATAAAGAAGATGAAGTAACAGATATAACTGTATGGAATTTAAAAATTAAAAACGTGAAGACAGAAATGGCGGGAGAATATGAATGTCAGACGACTGCGATTGCTGGTCATTCTAGAATTGTATATTTACAAGTTGTTGGTGAGAATAGTTTACTATGTTTGAGTAACCTGTAACCCATCTTCACTATGGCCATGGTATTACGTCTTCGACTTATACCGTTACTGCAATAGCCCACAATCTTGTTTCACGATCATCGATTTGATTGGAATGTACCACAGCGGATAGAGTCTCCAGAGCCCCCGATTTCGAGTGTATTGGATGGGTCATTGCAGTCATGTATAAAATGAAGACGAAATACCTTGACCATTGCGAAGACGCCTGTTACCTGAAACAAGCTATCTTTTCTGGGCATTTGGTTAATGCTGGTGGTTTCAACTACACCAAACACGTTTCGAAATAAAACTATTAAACTTCTGATCGAAACAGTAGTAACTATCTCGTTACAAACATTCTGTTGACGGATGGATCACTATCGCAGTCAGAATGTTGTGATGGCAGCATTGTAACATGAACGTATAGTGTCATCTCAGTGTCGAATCAATTAACCATGAAAGTGATTCGGATGGCTCATAGTCAGCTTAAATGATAAACCTAAACAAAGTAACTACGAGATTCGATTCGAATTATGTTTTGACATAAAATCGGTTTAGCCTTAGGAGTAAATATTAACTTTTTTACAAAACTTGTATAAATTGAATGTTGTTAAGGAAATAAACTATCTTATAACAGTGCTGTACACGCTAACATTAAGACCGATTTGGCAACTTTTTGTTGAAGTCGTGATCGACAGTATAATATACTCTTATCGTGATTTACAAGATATCAATTTTTAATAAGATTTAATTAAGCTATCAAAGGTAATATAGCTTTGAATCACCTTTACTTGAAAAACTGGCGCACGCAATCGGTTATCTTAATATAGAGATCTTAATTGAATTTCAAGCACTTTTACGGGTGAAATAGTTCGAACATAACCAAATCTATATTTCGCTCAATATGATACTCATCAATAATTCCTTGTGTTGTCCATATTTGATAAAAAAAAAATAAACCTTTTATTTCCATTACGAGTTATAAATTAAAGTATGACATTGACATGTCGATTCTCCCTAGGGACACCTTTTCATATTCAAACCGTTATTTCATTCCTTTTTCAGGTTCACCTTTATCAAAGCCAGGTACGTTATTGACAACTTATCCATTTTCATTACACCATGGAAGTGACTATTCAACAGATTCTTAGGAAAATTGAGTCGTAGGGATTCAATATTTATATTGAAATTTTTGCAATTATGCCGGACCTTTGGAAATAAGAAGACGCACGCAATTGAACATACCAAAGCAGGTCGTGGTCATTTGAATGCTTGTCAGACCATCTTGTAAGAAGGGAGACAAATATTTCAGACGTGAAGATTGTATTTTATTTTGCAGGAAAAATTGATTTTGGTCATCTGCACAAGTATAAATATTCTTCGTCGAGTAAGTGTCCCGAACTTCTTGATGTCACCTAATGCAATCCTTATCCACACTGTTCAAGCACACTCTCTTCCATTTTGCTACTTTTTAAACTATCCTTGACTTCACTGCCTCCTTTCGAATGTATACAAACTTGAAAAAAACGTTCAACTATAATACTTTTACAAAAAGAATTTCAATCACAAATACCGAATTAAATGATCATGTATTTAAATTCTTATGCTTGCTGATTATGCTATTGATGTGTTTTTGAGATTTTCTTTTCTTGTAAGTCGCCTTACAATAAGGAATAAATTGACTGTTCCAGAGTATTCGATTATATAAGCCATGTACATATATTTGTCAGTATTGGTTCTTCTATTGCAGATTTGCGGTTAACCGGGAATAAATTTGTAGAACAAGGTCATAAAATTCATTTAACATGTAATGCTACAGGTGGTGATAGGATACCGGAGGAAATAGACTGGTTTAAGGACGGTGATCTAATAGAACCTCATAAATATAGCGATATAATCATAACAAAATATAGATCATTAGAAGTGAAAGCTTTAGTGAGTGAACTTATTGTGGATCATAGTGATAGAAGTCATGCAGGAACTTATATCTGTCGTTCTTCTCAGGATAAAATTGATAAACTAACTGTGGAAGTTCTTGTAGGTAAGTTCGCAATTAGTGATGTTGTTGACCTTCAAGTAATGAGAAACAATTTTCATGAAACTTTAGTAATATTTTTTTGTGGCATATTTGGACATGATTCATTTTCTTTAACAGTATAGAAGATTAAATGTTAATTAATAACAAATTCTTAAAAGTTCTTATTCATCGTTTTATTTTTTTTTTCTTGCAGCGGACACAACAAATGTAAAACGTGGTAAGGAACATTTTATTTAATTACTTTTCTATGAAAACATTAACTAGGGGTGGAAGAGAATCCACTTGTCCAATCATACATCATTTTAGCAAAACAGTCAAAACTTATTCAAGAGTCAACAATTTAGTTTAACATATGAAATATTTTTCTGTTATACAAATTATTTTGTTCACATTTAATTTGTGGTGGATTTCAAGCAACTGTCTCCTTTGTTTCAGGTACGGGTAAAATAATAAATGGTAAAACCGTTTCATCAACAGCAAGTGATGCAAGGTGTTTGGACATCTATTTAACAATAATTTTAACAGTAATATCACTGCTACGCTTTACAATTTCTTAGTAATATCGTGATTTATTTTCGGTTACTTAGTTACATCGCGCTGTTGCCATGGTGCTGTACCACGTGCCTTCTTGGCTCAACGACTGTTTAAAGGGAGATAATTATATTTATAGCCAGTGATGGAATTTGGAGAAAGGAACCTGAGTGTTATGTGATAAAGGTCTGGAACAGCTAACACCATATTGTGTGAAAAAAAGTATCGGGGGATAATCATAATGTGTATATATATATCTCATGTAAATAGTGTCCAAATTCAAATGTTTCACTTTAAGCTCTTGAAACCAGTACCAGTCCATACACCAGATAACATTTGCTCTTCATATTATTCAAGTAGTCCATTCTCATTGTTCAGCATGGTTTAAATTAACTAGATCACAACAATCGCCGAATATAATCAAAAGAGCTGAAGGAAGTGATCCAGATCCTCGAATCATATTTGGAAGCTTTCGCGCCTTAAACTATAGTGTATTTTTAAAGGAAAATTAAAGCTTTCAACTTTAGAAATTACGACTTTTGCTGTACTTATTTCTAGCGCTTATATCTAAATAATTTCCTTACTTACCGTCTTGAATTACTGAACATTTCCTCAAAGAGTGTTTTCTTAAAACCGTATGTAATATATAATTTAATTGTGAGGGCAAAATAGATAATATTTTGGACACGTATGGAAAATGGATATCCATATCCGTATATCGATCAGTCTTAATATTAATGTTAATATCTGTGTAAGTGTGAGAGAAATAACTCTAATTTGAAAAAATTAAAGCAAGAACCTTAGTGTTTGTCAGGTTATTTTGATTTCGGGGAAAGGAGGGTTTGAGGTTGTTTGAGAGACAGTTGCAAATCACTCGAATTCCTTTACCCTTCTTTGTAGAAAACTTCTTTTACGATATATGAACTTGCTTCTTTGTAAAAAGTCTCTATAAGTGAATGCCAAAATGCAATCGGGTCTACATTTAGTGGGTGCAATACGTATTTTATAGGATGTACTCCTTCGATTTGCCCAGTAACGGACATTATGTGTCATTGCTTAGCTCAGATTAATAAAAAAAAGCAATATATTATGCTAATTTGACCACATTTATCTTAGGCTACATTTTAAGTTGATCACCGTATATTTATTTTATACGTTTCGCTCAAACTTGCTAAGCTTACATTTATAAAGGTGCCATGTTGAAACTTTACTTATTTTTGTATAATTATTTTGTATCTTTGTGTATAATCAATGTACCATATATTGTATATATAAGTAGGTAATTTATAATAGTATTGTTTTTGTTTGTATTTATGTTATGCAAATCTGATAATTAAATTTCATTCTCGCATCAAAACATGTTGTCTTATAAGGCGATGATGTGTTTAAATGATCTATTTTGCTACAGATGTTATAATAGCGCGTTATAATAGTATAGACGTCAATGCAGCGACCAGAAATTTAATAACTTTAAGCGTGTTCTGATTTTTTCGGTTTAAAAAGAGTTATCGTACATTGTATATGAAGTAAATTACAGGTTTGATAAAACTCGACGAAATTAGGATGACTCTTCATTGCAATTGACAATAAAGGTTTTTCTCGTTATTAAACGTGTATATCTTTAATTTCAAACATAACAACTAAACAATATCGATTAACAATTAAATAAATTCATCAAAAAATTGCTGTAGTTCGAACAGAGATATCGATTACGGATATCAGAGAAATCTTGTCAAAGATCTTTTCAGATAAATTTATGAAGTTAGATACAAGTTAAGGTTAGCCTGTGTTGTAAAGATTTGACCACCCTGTTAAATCAATAAATGTAACCTATTAAAATATCAAGATAAATTTAAATCAATAAATGTAACCTATTAAAATATCAAGATAAATTTATGAAGTTCGATTGTTACAGGATACAAGTTAAGGTTTTAACTGGACGATAATACCAATAAATAATCAATAAAGCATGTTTAGTGTGGTTTATATGATATGTTCACGGGACTAAAGATATAACGGAAAAAACACAATTTCCTAAAAGGCGAATACGCTGCCGTACGTCGAATAAGTTTTGTATTAGCTTCATAATGATGAAGCACGCTGGTATGCGTATATGTCGGATGGTTTCAAGTTTTAAAATGTAAGAAATTAAGAGATTGAATGTTACATGTCCAAAGCTGCCGGTAATATGAACATTATTTTGCGTTTTTGTGTGAAGACAACGTTCTTTCACTATAGCTGTCTTCAATATCTGTTATATGTATGTGCTAAATTTTAAATTTTCTACAACAATAAACCGAGGCTCCGTGTGCACCAGGCTGTGCACGTTAAAGATCCCTCGACAGATGGAAATCGAAAAAGAGCAGGCTGATGCCACTGTCATTGTAAAATTTATATCATTGCACCCTGCTTGGCGTTGCCGTCTTCATTAGCCCACATGGTGCAAAAAGTTGGACGTAAAGCTCCATTCATTTAATTTCATTTTTGACTTTTCTAATATAAATGTTTACTTTCAAGCCGATGAAATAAGTATCAAATACCACATCATAAAAGAATCATTCCGACACTCTCTACAAATCCGCCGTACTCTATCTGAAATGTTGGCAATTAAACTACAAAAATAAATATAAAACTTTTGAATATATTCAAGATGTCATTTTGGCAGGCAATAAATATAAATTTATAGTTTTTTTGTCATTTGTATTTCCTGCTAACTCTTTAATTAACGGAGTCGTTAAACTGCATGAATCCGAATTTCAAAGATCGAAATAAATTACATAAAGTAGAGATCAGACGCTCTTGAGTCGGAAAAAAATCTTGATTAAGTATCTGATAAAAACAATTTAAAGTGAGGATTTTTTTTAATATGATTCCTGCAAATAGATAAAATTGCAAGAAATCAGCAGCTAAAAAAAAAAAATATCAAACAAGAATACATTAACTTTCATGCTAAACTTACAGTCGACCACGATTGAAAATTTCATTGTCTTTTACGAATTGCCTTCATTCGTTGGGTCTAACTAAATTATATAGGTCAGTTTTTCCAATATCGAATTGTTTTCTATCTAAAGTTGACTTCAAGTGGACTGGAATTCAATTAGTTTTTCTTACATTTTCAGACAGCTGACTGAAACAACATTATTTAAAACAACTTCTTTTTTCTTCAATAAAAACTGTTTTCCTCCTACCAACATATTGAATCAGTTCAATAATGAACTCTAAAGGGGCGTCTATTTTACAAGGAAAGGCTATCACAGAAAATTGATGTTTGCTTTGGAATTTTGAGGAGTAAAAAAGTCTTCATTCGGAGGTGGTCGAAGTCAAGCGTCGTCTTAAAAGGGATTTTATTACACACGAAACTTAATTAAAACGATGAATTCAGTAGACGGATAAACATTATTGGAAGGTTGATTCAAGGATCGTTTTAAATAGGGGTGATCAATTTCTGGCTTGAATAGCAACAATCAACTTCAACAATTCTGAACGTTAAGCAGATTTTTATAAAAACATCGTCTTAGTTTTTATGTTTTCAATCGAAGTGTCTCTGTTTCAATGACAGTAAACTACCAAGTATCTAAGTTAAAGAAACCAGACTGATAAGTTGTTATGCTTGAAAACAAAATCTAATGGCAATTGGTTCCTTTGAGATTCTGCTTTTTCTGTATTTCTTCAGTCTAGTAAATATTGAAAGTATTGAAATTCCTTAATTTTACCGTTTTCAAACACAGTAATTGTTATATCTCATTTTATATCTCGCATTTTATGATAATGAAAACATAGAAGTGCGTGGCCTCTTATGATCAGCCTAGACCCTCTGACGATTCACAACGTCTCATCAAAATTGGCAAAATTTATTGACCGCGAGCAATTGCAATCAGTAGGATGGTTTCAAAATCCGAGCGCGCTGTTCGACGTCAATTTCTGCCAGGATGCCTCTGAGACCACCATTTCTATTTTTCTGTTATTTAATTCGACACGTTATAACTGTATTATAAGCGTTTTGCGAAAACTACATATTGCAATATACAGTTGGACATTGATGACATAATGACATGTCTTTAGTGTATGGAGTCTCCAAGGTATACAATATAAACCAATAAAAACTAATCCGTTTGAATCATCAACAGCAGAAGAATGTATCACCAAGATTAATAGAATCAAAACCCTTGGTACTTGAGAAAGTTTACTTTTTTGTATATTGGAAAACGAAAAGCACATATATACGTTATGTAATATCTTGAAGTCAGACAGCGTTTGCCCAGTGGTGGATCTATCGAGTACATATTCAATAATGGAAATAAAACATGTAATATATCTCCCGTATTTACCAGGATCTATTATTAAGTAAGCTACCACGCAGTGCCATCAAGTGTTCCGAAGTAGATCTACTGTCTGACATGCAACACAAACAACAATTATTTTTGTAATGTATTATTGCAGTCTACAGTTGGAGTCGAAATGCTTAAAATGTTCAACCACACGTAAAGTATTATACCATATGTATATCTAAGTTCGGTAGAAACGAAACAAAGTTATCATGCTTCCTTTGCCCGGTGCAGGTTTTAAAATGGACAGTCCAATACAGACCAATGGAGACATTAAGTAGAAGTAATAACATTATCCCTAACGGTAAATAAATCAAATGAATTCCAATTGCTTTCTGTATGAAGTCAATCATAGATATGTGTTATTTATTTCGAAGAAATAGATAATTAAATATATAGATATATCTTATTAATGAAGATTGACTTAAACCAATAATTCTTATAAACAAACTTTGAATACTGATTAAAGCAACAGAAAACTGTCTCGCTTTACTCATCTTTATACCCTGTCACACGGACTGCCACCATTTGTGATCTTACGGCGACTAGAAATGTACTATATCACAGGCAATCACGACGAAAACGCTAGAGAACGTCCTGGAAACATACTAACTGTAAAAGAGTCGTCCTCAAACCCCGACATATGCGACATTATTGCATTCCTGATGCGGTCCTCCCTCCTCGACTGCTACGCAACAAAGTGTGTCTATTGACAGTTATGAGTTAAGTAGGTGCGTCCACTGGAGATCTCATGGCCTTTTCGCACGGTATCTTACACGCCTATACTAGGTTTAAGGCGACCGTCGCAGCTTAGTAGGAACTTTTACGTCCCGGTGTGACAGAGATATTGTAATTTAGCCGATTTATTGTGCAGTTAGATTTTTGAAATGAAATGAATGGAGTTTTACGTCCTACTCTTCTGCACCTTGTGGGCTAATGAAGACGGGCAACGCCATGCAGGGTGCCATGAGGGAAATTTTGCCAGGACAGTGGCATTAGCCTGCTCTTTTTCGATTTCCAACTGTCGAGGGATCTTTAACGTGCACAGCCTGTAGCACACGAGGCCTCGGTTTATTGTCCCATCCGCACGACTAGACGCTTTTTCCATGTCAGCCCCTCTTACCTGCATCACTGACAGGGGGAAACCGGGTTGAAAAATCCAAAGGTATTATCTCGACCTATGCCGG